GGGCCCTCACTCACTTAAATCCAAGGGCCCTCACACACATAGATCCAAGGGCCTTCACACACATAGATCCAATGGCACTCACCCACTAAGATCCAAGGGCCCTCACCCACTTAGATCAAAGGGCCCTCACCCACTTAGATCAAAGGGCCCTCACTCACTTAAATCTAAGGGCCCTCACCCACTTAGATCCAAGGGCCATCACTCACTTAGATCCAAGGGCCCTCACCCACTTAGATCGAAGGGCCCTTAACCACTTAGATCCAAGGGACCTTACCCACTTAGATCCAAGGGTCCTCACTCACTTAGAACCAAGGGTCCTCACCCACTTAGATCCAAGGGCCCTCACCACTTAGATCCAAGGACCCTCATTCACTTAGATCCAAGGGCCCTCACTCACTCAGATCCAAGGGCCCTACCTCACTTAGATCCAAGGGCCCATACTCACTTAGAACCAAGGGCCCTCACTCACTTAGAACCAAGGGCCCTCACTCACTTAGAATCAAGGGCTCTCACTCACTTAGAACGAAGGACCCTCACTCACTTAGATCCAAGGGCCCCCACTCACTTAGATCCAAGAACCATCACTCACTTAGATCCAAGGGCTCTCACTCACTTAGATCCAAGGGCCCTCATTCACTTAGATCCAAGGGCCTCACTCACTTAGATCCAAGGGCCCTCACTCACTTAGATCCAAGAGCCCTCACTCACTTAAATCCAAGGGCCCTCACTCACTTAGATCCAAGGGCCCTAACTCACTTAGATCCAAGGGTTCTCACTTACTTAGATCCTAGGGCCCTCACTCACTTAGGTCCAAGTGTCCTCACTCACTTAGATCAAAGGGCCCTCACTCACTTAGATCCAAGGGTCCTCACTCACTTAGGTCCAAGGGTCTTTACTCACTTACATCCTAGGGCCCTCACTCACTTAGGTCCAATGGCCCTCACTCACTTAGGTTCAATGGCCCTCACTCACTTAGGTCCAAGGGTCCTCATTCACTTAGATCCAAGGGCCCCCACTCACTTAGGTCGAATGGCCCTCATCCATTTACATCCAAGGGTCCTCACTCACTTAGGTTCAATGGCCCTCACTCACTTAGGTTCAATGGACCTCACTCCATTAGATCCAAAACCCTCACTCATTAAGGTCCAAGGGCCCTTACCCACTTAGGTACAAGGGCCCTCACTCACTTAGATCCCAGGTCCCTCACTCTCTTAGGTCGAATATCCCTCATCCACTTTCATCCAAGGGCCCTCACCCACTTAGATCCAAGGGCCCTCACTCATTTAGGTCCAAGGGCCCCCACTCATTTCGGTCGATGGTCACTCACTCACTTAGGTTCAAGGGCCCTCACCCACTTAGATCCGCATGCCCTCACCCACTTAGTTTCAAGGTGCCCTCACTCACTTAGCTCCAAGGGCCCTCACTCATTTAGGTCCAGGGGCCCTGTCCCACTTAGATCCACAGGCCCTCACCCACTTAGATCCAAGGGCCCTCACCCACTTAGATCCACAAGCCCTCACCCACTTAGATCCAAAGCCCCCACTCACTTAGGTCCACGGGCCCTCATCCACCTAGATTCAAGAGCCCCTATTCACTTAGGTCCAAGGGCCCTTACCCACTTAGATCCAAGCGCCCTCACTCACTTGGGCCCAAGGGCCCTTACCCACTTAGGTGCAAGGGCCCTCTCCCACGTAGATCCGAGGGCCCTCACTCTTTTAGGTCCAAGGGTCCTCACTAACTTAGATCCAAGGGCCCTCACTCACTTAGATCCAAGGGCCCTCACCACTGAGATCCAATGGCTCTCATCCACTTATATCCAACGGCCCTTACTCACTTTGATCCAAGGACACTTACACCTACATCTACACTTAACCCCAACCTAGACTTAGACCTACACTTACACCTAAACTCTAACTCTAGGTCTGACCCTAGGCCTAACTATAAGCCTTAACCTAGGCGTAACTCTAGACCTACACTTACACCTACATCTACACTTAACCCCAACTTAGGCATAACCCTAGGCCGAACTCTATGCCTTACCCTAGGCCCTCTCCCTCTTAGGTCCACAGGCCCGCCTTCACTTAAGTCCACGAGCCTTCACCCACTTAAGTCCACGGGCCCTCACTCACTTTAGTCCACGGGCCCTCACTTATGTATTTGAGCCACTAGTACGCACCTTCAGTAAGGCCAATCAATCTGTTGAACTATATCTATAATATGGCGATAGCTTCCTTGTGATTACTTACGTTTGCAATCAGCAGTGTTTGACCATTGGCCGCCAATGAGGCATGTGGAATTGACCTCCTGTGTTTGATCATAAGATTGTGCACATCTGAAGACAATCACTTCACCCTCTTCATGTAGAATATTGCCCAATAATTCACCACCCTTTGGACTCGGTGGAGGTCCACAATCTAAATAAAAATAAACAGTTACATGATTCTGTTGGTGTGTTGGATGGAGGGAGGGGTGATGGTGGGTGTAAAATTCCGAATTCCCCAACTGTCCGAATTGTCCGAAATTGGTCAAAAAAGACAAAAACATCGAAACTAAAATTGCGCCAAAGGTCGTGCACAAATTCGGGAATCAAAACATTTTACATAAAAAAACGAATATTTTTAAAAGCTTTCATTTGGTCATATCACAATTTTTTTCTTTATATTTCGTGTTCACTACGCTAATTTATAATGATGCCGTCTATGAATTGATATTTTTGATTATTAATAACTCCGAAACCCTTCATCCCATTGTTAACAATTACAAACTCCAGTGAGATCTCATCAGTATATACATGCATACCTAGTTTCATGAAGATTGGATAAAAACCGTAGTCTCTATCATGCCTACAAGGAAAATTTGACGCGTTTTTACTAAGTCAAGGGCAAGAACTCTGTAAACGTTCTTCCGATTATTACCATTTTCGATCTTGGCCGAAATCTCATCAAAATATACATGCATACCAAGTTTCATCAAGATCGGATAAAAACTGTAGCCTCTATCGCGCCTACAAGAAAGGGGAATGGGAGACGGGCCGACGGACGACGGCAATATACGTCCACATTTCCATGTAGGCGTATAAAAAAGGTTAGTCTGAAAACATGGTTTATTTATTTCATACCTTGACTGCAATCAAAGCACTTAGCTACAGATACAAACTTCTATGATACAAGAATAAGGTGTCAATTGCAGTCAAGGGTTGAAACACTGTGATAGTGGGGGAGGGGCAGGGGGCACCTTACTCCTTGCACGTTAGCCTGTTCCCATCATTCACATTAGCATCAAACTTTGTGACTTCGATCACAGACAACAAAACGTGTGTATTGAATAATATCGATTATATTTATTAAAAAAAAAAAATATCAATTCATAGACGGCATTATTATAAACTAGCACGGTGTACACGAATAATAAAGAAAAGAAATTGTGATTTGACCAAATGAAAGCTTTTAAAATATTCGTTTTTTGATATAAAATATTTTGATTCCCAAATTTATACACGCCCTTTGGAGCAAATATAGTTTAGATTTTTTTGTCTTTTCTGACCTAATTCAGACCGTTCGTAAATTCGAAATTTTACACCCACCGGAGGGGTGACTTTCTGGATGATTGGCTGGGTGCATTGATGAATGAATGAATGAATTATACACTTACGTTTACATCTGTTGGGTGTTGTCCAAGTACCGTTTTCCAGACACGTTGAAGTAATATTTTGGTCTATTGAATAACTCTTGGTGCAAGTGTAACTAATTGTTTCATTCTTGATTTGGTAAACCGGTCGACTCACTTCTCCATTTTGAACTTCTGGTGGTTCTCCACAGTCTAGAAAATCGAAAATGACAAATCTCTCTTATTTTTCTATTGAATATCTATAACGCCTCTGTTATTTTTAGAAGGAAATACAAACTCTTCTAGACACCTGATACCACTTTTCATTATGAAATACTTACTCACTTATACTTCCTCATGTGCATTGTAGCAACTGCAACCAATGTTTCGCCAAACGGTTATATCGAGTTTCGTTTAGCGGTTCGGAGATTTTGTACTTGCTTTTTTTATTGATAGGGTCAGTGTGTAACTTGCTGTATTCAGCCTCTGATAGTTATATTTGACGGAGATGGTTTATACGACAATCATATTGAATTATACATTGGTAAAGATAACTCTGTAACATTGATACACGCCTGTTACATATCCCTCATTGCACACTGAATGGTGTTGCTGGTCTTAATAACTGTATAATCTGTTTAGACGATCGACGAAAGCATTCTAATTAGTCAAAGCTTTAGTTTATAATTATTGAAAACTTACGGCGACAGTTATCTGCTGGAGTCCACGTTTTATCATTTTGACATGTAGATGTGATGTTTTGAGTAGCAAGATAGGCATCAGGACAAGTATATTCTATCGTTTCACCTTCTAGATGGAATATGGGTTTTGTTATAACTCCCCCTAATATCTCCGGGGGGTCGCCACAATCTGCAAATACAATGAGAATTAGGTATAAAAGTATAACTTTCGCCCTGGGACCTTATTCTCTAAAACTTCATTTAAATAATATGCAGATTTTAAGAAATACAGTAATATGATTGGATAACAACACCTAATTTTTAAATCAATATTTGTGATTGACCAATCAGATGACTGGAACACTAAAATCATCTAAAGTTAAGGTTTTGAGAATAAGACCCCAGGGCAGCAGCTTGATAAACATAATACCAGGCGTGGAAATTCCGCACGGTAAGGAAATAAAGGTTGGGGCAATGTAACGAAAGCACGGGCAGAGGACATATAAGTTATATAAGTTTAAGTTGAACACACGGTTAGGTATTAGGAGGTTAGAGTCGACAACGAGCCCACTCTCGAAATCTCTGGTATCAGAACTTTTCTTACTTTGAGGAGGATTCGAACCCACGGCACCTAATTGCCAAGCAGTCGATAATCCCTCTATTATAGCTACCGATTGAGCTATTCTACTCTAACAGTAAATATCTCTTCTATAGGAGTTCCTTCCTATCATTTTTTTTTATCTTAATGTGATACTACGTCTTAGAATGAACATAAAATATAAGAATTTTAAACTTGGCGAATAAAAGCCAGTAGATATACCTGGTGTCATAAATAACATAACAGGATCCTTATATAATCTGATAAATCCAAAAAACTTACTAATTATCCATAAATATGCAATTAACTTTGAAAAACGCTTAATATATGATTAAGCGTTTTTCAATAATTATTCAGTTTTATGAATTTTCCAATTTTCTAGATTTGACAGGGATTCTGTTGTAACTTTATGACACCAGGTAAGTTCACTGATGAATATATACTCATATTGACCATTCTTGAGAATTAAAATTTACGTTCATTCTAAGACGTAGTATCGCTTTAAGTTTCTAGAGAATTTTCGCCTTGACAAAAACCAAAATGAAAAGGAGAAATAGAGACTTACATTTACAAGCTGTAGGTTGAGTCCAGGTAGTATTTTCTTGACAAGTAGAAGTGATATTTTGATCGTCTTGGTATGAATCAGTACAAAGATATCTGATCTCTTCACCTTTTAGATGTGATATTTGTCCTACCAGCTGAGTATTGTTCACCAATGGTGGATCACCGCAATCTAATATCAAATCAAAATCAATTTCAATTTTCAATCAGACGTCTGTGGTCTCACAGTTTCACGACAAAACAGGCATTGTAAGAGGTCACTATCGTAAATGTCCCTTTAGCGGCTTTTTTTAGTGGAATTGCTGGAACCACATACTGAAAATTGATATGCTGCAAATCGAAGTTTTTGGTGTCCCCTAATACTAATAGTCACTTTTAACTCCAATTAACGAAGAATATCAAGAAAACAGATTGTGCGAAACAAACATTATTGGTGATCGGAGATCAAACATTGAGTTGGGTGGAGTGGGTCAGACTTACGTTTACAGTTGCCGGGGGTGGTCCATTGACCATTTCTCTGGCATTTCGATGTTATATTCTGTTGAGTTTTGTACGATCCAGGACAGGTGTACCAAATAACTTCATCTTCTTGGCGCGTTATTTCTTCTTGTATAATTGAGTTATTCACCACCGGAGGCTCTCCACAATCTGAAATATTATATAACGATCGTTTTATAATATAATACAGGCCTCAGAAACACAAACGTTTTTTTTCTTAAGGAATTTTGGTTGATTCTAGCTAGAAAGAGAATACATATCGGTAATATTGCAGCAAACTATGCCATCATATTCGATTTTTAAGCAGATTAACACGATAGCGGTGGGCTACAATTGATCAATTTTCACAATGTCGAGGACGAACTGCGTCTAATACCTTGACATCACTGGACATCTTTTTGTACGTAAATGCAGCAATTTTGGATTAAAAATACATTCAATAATAGAGAAGGGCAATACTGAGAG